TGTAACTTCTTGTACTGACATAATTTCTCAACGTGAACCAACAACAACACCAACATCACCACCATTGTTGTCTCCAACACATCCACATCAAATGATGCCACCACCACAACCGATGAATAACCATCAACCGCAACAACGACGATGGCGACAACAACAACAACAACAACACCCGTTGTTATTGACAACGGCGACAACCACTGGAACAATGATACAAACTGCACCTTCGAATCAACAATCACAATCACAATCGCACTCCCAACAACATCAACAACATCAACGCGCTTTGGGCGCATCCTCAATGTCTTCCCGTTGTTCATCGGTAACAACATCTCCATCACCAACAACAATGACATCACCAATGGCTACAATGTCAAATCATTTGATTTTTAATGGAACAACTAAAAAAAATACTATAAACAATAAAATCACAACAACAACATCTCCAACGAATGTACCTGCCGCAAATGGGACGATGACAAAACCAACAACAACAACAACAACAACAACATTACCAACTGCATCAACAACTTCATCCATATTGAACCCATCATTGTACACAACAACAACAACAATAACAACATCGTCATCGTCCATGCAAAAAACGCGAAATCGCCATCCGTCCATTCCGGCTTACGCGTCTGCGATCTCTAATTGTTCTCCTTCCACTTCTACTTCCTCCGCTCTTCTTGCATTCTCTTCTCCTTTTTCATCTTCTTCTTCTGGAATCTCTGCGAACTCGTCGGAAACTCAAACCCATGGGGCATCATCCTCAATGCCTGTCGTTGATGTGCGTGCCTCTTCCTCTGTCCCAACGACGGAGCCGTTCAACACATTGAATGTTCTTAATGAAATGAACAACAACAACAACAACAACAAAAACAATTATAATGATAATAACATTATTTTGACACACTCGACTGATGGCAACTTGATTTGTGATAATACCAATAATATAACAAACAACAATATCAACAGCAACAACACCAACTACCATCAACCATTCAATTCTATGGATTTTGGACAGCAGCAACACTTGCGACACCACCTACGCTTTAGCAATAATGGTCGTGGCAGCATGGATAATGGTGGTAGTCATGGTGAATATAACAATAATAACAACAACAACAACAACAATTACCGACGCCCTGGCGGAAATCAAAATAACAGTATTAGTGGTAACGGTAACTCTATGATGATGCACCGCCATAATGGCGAATATTATGGCAGCAATCATCACAACCAACAGAATCACTATCAGTACGGTGAGCAGAATCGTCGGCATAACAACAACAACAACAACAATGGCAACGGCAGTAATGCATCTAACTCAGGATTATTTGAAAGAAATAATAGCAACAGTGGCAATTTGAATGGCAATACCAGCAGTGGTATGAATAACATGGTGAGTATTTTCGTTAGCGCATAAACATATGTATCTATATAAATGAACATTAGGGTGTCTCAGAACATAAGAGGCTAATTTTATTTTTTTTTTTGCGACTCGATGCATAGCCTCTTAATATTTCTTCTTGACCCTTGGCCTTACGAGCATCTACGAATTGGAGTTTTTGTTGCTGTATGATGAGCGTCTAACGCGCGCTAACATGTGAACACCTTGAGCAAAATGCAAGGCAATGTAAGCGCGCGTTATCAAGACGCGCCTGTCGTCATGTGAAGGGGGTTTTTAGATACCCACGCCGCGCGAAAATGTGTTCATACTTCTCACACTTGATGAATACATCATTTGTGCGATAAACGAGCTCAATCTTAGTAACAGTGGCTCAAAAAAGTGTTCACGTGTTGATTTTTCTTTTTATATTCACAATATTTTTCAAGGTAATTTTTTATCCTACAAAAATAAGTTCCAAGCTTTAGTCGAAACCATATAAATCAAAGTTTCAAACTCTATACAAAATTTAGGAAAAATTCAACAAAATTTAGAGCTTTACACACAATATTTACAACATTTTTGTATATGCCGTTTTATAGCCCATACAATTTTAGTCTAAAGAAGTGTAAGTTTCAATCGGCATACAGTCCCGCAGACTTTTCGGAATTTTTTTAGTGACTGCTTGTGCGGTGCTTTGTACTATAACCAGTGTAATTTACAAAAACTAGCGTGGATTTTTACAAAATTCATTGCGAACGGTCTCCCGAATTTTATTTCATAAGAAACTAATGCTTATATAGAAACAAATGCGAAAATGCGTCAGCAAAAAAAAAAAGAAGAAATTATTACAAATCAACGCGGTTTTTTAGCCACTTGAAAATTGCACTTCATGACGCCAAGGCTTAAATAACATTTTGTAGAAAAATTACAAAAAAAATTTACTTTAAAAATGTTGTGAATATTAAAAAAATCAACACATGAACACTTGTTTGAGCCACTGTACATGTGATTTTAGGTTATCAACATGCTATTGGAAGTTAAAAAAAGTGAGAGTAATTTTGTTAATTTTATTATGTACATACATACGTTATTTAGGTGAAAAGGAAAAAATAGGGGTGTGGATATCGACCCAGTGGGAAAGGGTAATGCAAAGGAATACAAAAAGTAACCTACGCACGAAAAGAAGGCAAGAATTTCTCCACAGGAGTGTCATACGAAAGTATGCATTGCGCTTTACGAAACTATAAATGGAATTAAAAAAAAAAAAAAAAATAAATAAATACAAATAAAAAATGAAGTCCGTGCCACAGGTTTTGAGCCCGTGACCAACACAACACGGCAGTCGAACACCCATCCATTCGGCTGCAGCAGCTGTTGAGATAACGTGAAACAAACGTTTTCAAACTTTTTGTTTCGTTAGTGGTAACGGTTCAAAATTACACTCATCCGCTCGCTTACATTGCGATGTAGTTTTTCGTTCAGCCGTACTTGTTAATCTTTTCTTGGTAGAAAAATGGAATGAATTCCCATTTTCCCACTGGAGAATTTCAAAAATACAATACAAAAATTTGACTATTGTTCTGCAACACTCTAAAGTATGTATGTGTGTTCTCTAATACTGTGCACTCCAGTCCAATTTTGAACATTCATGCCGATTTACTTACATATTTTTTCACAGCACTTTGATGGCCATAACAACAGCAATCATTCCCGGAACGGGGACTTCCACAATGATAATCGTCCTGAACGTGGAG